CCGGGGGGGGGGGGGGAACGACACACAACACGACGACACACGGGACGACGGACGGACACACACGACACGAGGAGTAGCGGGGGCCACGGGGAGCAGCACAGGGTGGGAGACAGGGGCTTCAGGAGCACATGCCACTCAGCTGCTTCTCCTCACTGGTGCCAACCCAGCCGGGCCCATCTTGTCCCAAGCGACACGCGGTGAAGCAGTGGCTGGCCCGGCTTTCCTGCATGCTGCTTGGGATGGGACAGGCCCAGCAGCGAGAAGAAGAGGAGGCTCAGACAGCTGAGCGCTGCTCAGGATCCGCCTGGCCTGGCCAGAGCGGTACACAGCTCAGCTGTTCCTTCCCTTACCTCCGCTGGCCGGTCCCAGGAGGAACAGCTCAGCCACCACTTCTCGCCAGTGCCTTCCCGACTGGACCCAGTTTGTCCTGAGTGGCACACAGGGAAGCAGTGGCTGGCCCAGCTTTGCTTTGTGCCACTCAGGTTGGGATGGGCCTGGCCAGGTCGGCACCAGTGAAGAGAAGTGGTGGCTGAGCCATGTGCCACTCAGGACCAGCTAAGCCACAGCTTCCCTGGTACTGGCCTGAGAGGCATGTGGCAAAGCTGCAGCTTCCACTTATCTCTGCCGTCCTGTCCCGGCCGCTCTCAAGCGGCACATGGCTCAGCCACTGCTTCTCCTTGCTGGTGCCAACTTGGCCAGGCCCATCGCATTCTGAGCAGCACGCAGGGAAGAAGCATCTGGGATGGCTTTGCTGCATGCCACTCGGGACAGGACAAGCCTGGCCGGGGCAGCACCGGCTAGGAGAAGTGGTGGCTGAGCCACATGCAGCTTCCCCACACTGCTTGGGACAGACCGGGCTGGACCCAGCTGGGTTGGCACCAGAGACACAAAGCCATGGCTGAGCCTGTGCTGAGCAGCACATGAGGAAGTGGCACACGGCTCAGCTGGCATTTCTCTTTGCCAGTTCCGACCGGGCCGGGCCCATCCCAAGCAGCATGCAGCAAAGCTGGCCCAGCCGCTGCTTCCCTGCGTGCTGTTTGGAATGCAACGGGTCCAGCCAAGTCGGCACTGGCAAGGAGAAGTGGCGGCTGAGCCATGTGCCACTTGGGACCGGATGGGCCAGGCCGGTGGAGGTAAGTGCACAGCTGTTCCCAGAGCCCCGGGGGCTCCTGCCACAGCTCGGGGGACTCTGCCCCACTTGCACTGTGCCCAGTGGGCACAAAGGCTAAGCTGGAAGCCCCCCAAGCATGGTGTCCTACCCCCACCAGGCAGCATCTTCTTGGGGGCAGGGCAGTTGCACCCCATCCCATGGAGCTGTGTGGGCCAGGCCAGGCCAGGCTCTACCTTCGGTGCCACTGTGGGCCCAGCTGCAGCCTGAGTCTGTGGAGCTCTGAGGCAGCCCCCACTCCCCTCCCAGCCCCTCCTCTCCTCTTGCTGCCACCTTCCCAAGGGCCTGGCCTGGCCAGCCAGCCTACCCGCAGTGCCTCCCCCTGCGCCTGTCTCTCCCCCTCTATGAAGTTTTATTGTCATCAGGTTTAGAACTTTTAGAAAACCTGATATTTACCACAAAAAGAAATGTTTATGATTATTAACTATGTAACAGGAGGGACGTCAGGGTCACCGTGCTCTCCCCTGCCGCCTCCTTCACCGTGCCAAGCCGCCTTCTTGCACCCTCCAATTCTCGCCCACCACGTCTTTGATTTTCTATATTTTATAAGGAGGCTACCTTCTGTCCTCTTGGCCCCGGTTCTGCTGTCATGGGTGTCTCATGCACCCAAGCCTTATGGGCTATGCGTGGCTCCTACCACCCCAGTACCACACCCCAAGCCTCGCAGATGTAAATGGACGTTATTCTGTCCCTCTCTCCATCTTCACGCCCTCTATGGCACTCGGGCTCTCTGTAGCCCCGTCTCTCTCACTCTTTTCGTGCCCTGTCTCTAGGGGCCTTCTCCGTACGCCGCCCTGTCTCTCGGGCTCACCACAAGGCGGCCCCCTTCTCTAGGGCTCACCACGCCTGCACTGGGGCTGCTCAACAATGCCCCCCTTCTCTGGGCTTCTCAACTGCCCCTCTCTGGGGCTGGGGTCTATGTACCCCGTATGCAGCACCCTCACTGGTGCTGGGGTCCCCACGCTATTGTGAGTCCCCTATGAGGCCTCCTCCATCCCCTTATAGCCTCATCCAAACCACCGGTCATAAACAAACAGCAACATAAACACAAGCCCCTGGGCTACAATGCAAACATAAGCCTCCAGCCAAACTGCGCTCAGGCCTACCAGGGGTCTCTATCCCCCTGCGGTGACCAACGCTGCTCTAGCATCCCGGCTCGGCTTATCTTTTTTCTCTGGCAGGGAGCTCCTTCTGCCTTGGCTGCTGGTAGGGAACTGCTGCCTGGCCTCCTGCCTGTGGTTTATATAGCAGCCAGGCCCTGCCCCTTCTTGTCAGCTGGCTAGGCAGGTGCGGATCATTAGCTCCCTCTAGTTGCTCCAGCAACCGGCACCTGAGGAGTGTTCCTGGCTCTCTCAGTAACAGGCACCTTAGTGCCCTGCTACAAACTATATTAATAATTCAGTGCTTTCTGCCATATACCTACCCCCCCCACCCCCAGTTTTGCTTGTTTTTTTGGCATGCCAGCGCTCCAGTACCTTACAAGGTAGACATTGTGGTTTTTTCGGCACTTTGGCCAAAAAACATTGCCCATCCCTGACAGACCATGTGACAGGGTGTAACTTCCAGTTCCAAGGCCACACCACCCCCTCCCAAAAGGAGTACTTCTAGGGGTAAAGGGAGGGACTTCGGGTGGCAAAGGGCAGGGAGGGATTAAGAGGTGGGACTTCCGGACACAAGATGATGACCAGGGAGCGGGGCAACTGTCAAGGGGCCGAGCTACCCATGCGGCCCTTGACAGCTCACCAAAACTCATGAAGCGGCCCGCCAGCCGAAATAATTGCCCACCCCTGGCCTAGGCACCTCAAAGAATCAGGCCTTTACATCTCAATTCTGTTCCCATTGAAATCAAGGCAAAACTTACGCTGCCTCAGATGGTGCAGAACGAACTTCTGCTTACCAAGTGGGACACCCTACACAAACTATAGCACCTCGTGGGGAGGGAGAGGGTGGAAATGTATGTACTCACCCAGAGACTGTAGGAAGAGAAGCTGGAATTGCTGTCTGAGTTTTCTCTTTCTCTTGCTGTTCCAGAAAAGATTTGGCTTCTTTTGAGGCAGCATCTACTTCTTTAGTCACTCTGTTGTGGGGGGACAAGAGAGAGAGCGCCACCTGTTAAAGCAGATGTATGGACGGAGTGGTAATCAAAGACCTAGCAAGTGAGTACAGGAAATATTTGGCACTTGCAGACAATGTTCACTGTACTAATTCCCCTTCCATCAACTATTCTGTGCTGAATGGCTATGTGGATTCCATTTTGATTACAAACCTTCCAAATCCATGTCATAAAGAAAAAAGACACAGTTAAAGGGATTTATACAATGAATAGAAATGTTTATACATTTAAGCAGACCTGTAGCTACTCAAAGTCACTGAGAACCCCAAATAGATCACTAGAGGAGAATCTGGTCTCTTAATTGGACTGGTTTCTCCATTTGCTGCTCAATGATGTAATTCTTGTGCTCCAGCTGCTCCCCTACCCACACAACATAGGGGCTGGTAACACCTATAATCCCCATGATCAATGCTACAGCAAAGAACCTGTCTAGTAGGAGAACATTCTAACTTAAATGGTGAATGCAGAAGTTTGCTACCTTTTTCTAGATAATATTTTTGTTTTGGGTCTAGAGCAGCAGTTCTCAGCTGGGGATCTGAAGCCCCCTAGGGGGCTGTGCCTGAGGGATGAGGAGACAGGAAAGCAGTGCTCAGGCACTGGCTGGTTCCAGGCAGGGGGCTTGGGCTCTTCACACTGGGCTTCTGCTATCTGAGCCCAGTGCTGCACAAGCTGCAGCAGCAGGCAGTAGGCTACACGGTGCTGTCAGTGCAGCAACCCAGCGAGCTCTTCATGTGCACCTTCTCATGCAGTGGCACCTGCCATGGCACCATGCTGTACTCTTGCCTGCAGGCCTCCCACGCTTTGCTGTTCCTGCAGCTCCCCACAGGTAAATCTATGGGGGGGGCAGGCAAGGCGGGGTGGGGAGATGTGTGGAGGAGTAGGGGTATCCTCCCAGATTTCTATGCCCACAATGGGCATCGGGCTGCAGACTGGCACAGGCAGAAGCCACCTCTGTGGCCCAATGGGCAGGACCCGACATGGGGGGCAGAGTGGGGTGGTGAGACTTGTTGCAGTTGCAGCTGCTGCCGGGACCCCACGCCAGCTGCACCACCAGCAACACGGTGAGTAACAGACTGGGGGAGGGGCTGTGTGCGAGAGACAGTGGGTCAGGATTGAGGGGCACTGGCAGAGCCAGGGGGCTGCAAGTCAGGGGTGAAGGGGGCCATGAGTCTAAAAACGGTTGAGAACCACTGGTCTAGAGGATATAAAATATCAAACTTCAAATCAATATTGC